TCACATTTTCCTCTGCATGTTGAATAGGCCTGTTCTGTTTCTCGATCTGGAAGCAATGCCATCCCTTTGATCATCCCTATTTCTCTTCTGTGTTTCATTGTACCTTTGCAGATGCATGCTTGCTGAATATCTTCTGCTTTATTTTCCTAGTTTTTTAAGTCTTTTCTTCTATTACTGTTCCACTTGTATGGCAGTTTCTTTCAATGAAAATTAATTTATGTCCTGCTCTAAGGATTGCTTATATGACCCATTGCCCTTAGTGCTTTCCTCTTGAGTCTTCACAATTAAATGTACTGTCTTTCTGCCATTGAAAGGCCCTAGCAGTCTGCAAAGTAAGAGATTAAGTCAGTGATCTGATTTCAGACCTCCCAGTTGGCAGCGGAGAGCATTATCAAAAAGGCACCAGGCCTGATAGAGGAAGACTTGTGCATTTTATTTTGTAAGGATTTTGTGCTTTGTTATGTTCGAGTTCAGTTACAGCAGGCAGGAGACTTTTGTGCATTGAGACAAATGAATGAAAGCAGCAAGGGTAAGATTTATTTTGTTTCATATTTTATTGTCTTGAAAGAGCTGAACTCAGCTAATCAATTATTTCATAGGAAATGGTTACTGTATTTCTGTACTGGTGTAGATGCGTGTGATGCTTTATGAAACACCCAAGTCAGATTTCATGTGTACCAGACATAATCCCTAGGAATTTTCTGAATCATATTTATTTCACTTTGATTTTCTTCACACCATGAACATAAGATAAAAGGATGCATTACTCTAAGGTGGTTAAATCTGGTTGCCTGGGATATTCTGTGAGCATGACATGGATAGAACAGATCATGCATTCATCAGACCCTTGATATTGATTCTTAACTGACTTTCTGCCTGCTGGGAACACCTCCATTCTTAATAATATGGAAAAGGTTTGCTGCACTGCTTGTAAAAGTTTTTATCACCTGTGCTTCTATTACAGTCCTTGAGTGATGGAAAAGAAGAACAAGCACAGAATCTGTCCATAGATTTCAGAAAATGTTTACCATTGTAATTGAAAGATATAAAAAGCAAATTCAGAGTTTAATCCCCTTATTTAAACTAAATATTCTGATGTCCTGTTCAGTTCACATCTTTAACATTTCAACTCAAAACTACTGTACTAATTTGGTTTTGCCTAAAGAAAATCATTCTGCAGGTTGTCTATCTCTGATACATAAGCAAAAAAATGAGAATTATTAATCTGCCTTCAGATATTGCTGGCATACATGTTTACACCTAAACTATTGACTCTCAAGTCCTTTTATAGCAAATAGAGAGAACTAGGCAGGTTTAAATCATGATTGGGTGAGGATAATCACATCCAAGGACTATCTATTTACTTTAATTATTAAAGAGGACCATGGACTTGTCTACAATCTACCCTGTAGATTGTAGACAAGCTTAGTCAGATGTTTGGTCTGATTTTCCTACCAGAAGATGTATGCATTTCTTCTCTTGCTAGGATTTTGTGATGTTAAAAGTCTTTCTTGGTTCTCATTTGAATTTATTTAGTGATGGTTGGTGCAGTTGATGACTCTTAATGTCTTCAGGACTGAAAAATATATTTTAAAAAGAATTCAACAGAATAAAATCAAATTCAAGCTGAGCCAATCTTGTAATAAAAAGTGAAGAATGCAAAGGGAAAATAAGAGGTAGGAGTGGAAACAGATTTATTCCATTTTAGTAGCAGTAGAAAATTATATCCTTCCCCTTACTCCTCTTTATTTTCTGACTAAGACAAAATCAGGTAGGGACATAATAGAAGTTTACTGGTGTTTCTCAACTTTTTCTTGTTTTACTGTGTTATTATGAAAATTTTCATAAATAATATCCCATCTAATCTATTTATTTCAGTAGAAACTTTGAGTCTTCCATTAAATTGTTAAAGTAGAAGTCTTAGTAATATGTGTTTGTCAGGTAATTCAGACCCAACTCTCTGGTCTCTCTTGCAAATTTTTTCTCTGGAATTATTTGTAACCTTTTTTATCCTTAAAATGCGAGAAAGTTTCTATTTCTTCCTGTATCCAAGTTAATTGTTTTGAGAACCCCTTAGGTTGCATGTACTCACTTGGAGACCATTGCCTCAGTGGAAGAGAGTCCTTGTGATCAGAGACAGAGGTGACAGTGTCAGATAGTGGACCCAGGGTGGAATTAGGTTCTTCTTGTTAGCCTGTCCTGTGAAATATATTAAATACTAAATTATTTATTGCCAGCAATCATGTTAAAATATGAAGAACTGTAAATATTGCTAGGAAGAAGTACTAAAATACTGTCATGATGTGGTAGAGAATTAGCTCGTTGTAGTTCAGCAGATGCTCTTCTTTGGATCTGATGTATGCAGCCATAGTCAGTGCTTCATGGGACTTTAATTTCTGCTAATTAAGAGTTTACTAGAATGAGGGAAGTGGAAAAATTTTGCCCAGACTGGCAGCTTTGCCCATACTGTTCTACCTGTGTAGTGTATGACAGACATAGGTTTTTGGTTCTTAATACACAGACTGAATCTGTTTTCTCCCACTTAGACCCTTCATCCAAGCAGAAGACTAATCCCTGTGCTCTCAATGCCCTCTTTACTGATGTTGTAGACTTGCAGCAGATTGCAGCTGTTGTACAGCTTTAGGGCAGAGAATGACTGTTAAGGATCAGCAGGCTGATAGCCTGCACACCGTAGGGAAGAGGATGTGCTCTGCATCTTGGCATTTCTGGATGGCTTTTTTTTGCCAGGTATGCATTTGTTTCTGATGCAGTTGCTGTATTTGCTGTGTCTTCTCTGCTTCTGATTTCTGAGAGGACTTCACAGCACTGGTGATGGAAGCCTAGGCTGCTCTGGGCACAGCCCTGCAGATGTAGACAGGACTGCTGAAATAGAATCTTTTCTCAGTAGTTTTGACTATACATCAATGCAAAGACTTCTCTGGATGGAATGCGCTGGATCCCCTGGAAAGTTTTAAATCCTTAGGGGAGATCCCTCCTTTGAAGGGAGCTGTCCTTCCTAAAGGAGTAATGAGCTTGTCCTTCCTTTCAAGATTGCCCAGATAGACCACGATCTCTTCCGCTCCTCATTCTTCTCCCCCTTCCCTTCGCCTAGCTGAAAGAAACTTCACAGATGAATTTTAACTTAGAATATAAATTGTGGACAGCTACTCTACAAATTGACCAGTTGGGATTTTTTTAACTACCTAATAAAAGACATTTTAATAGCTTTGTTTCTCAGTGTACCACTACATTGTGAGTACTGAACTACAGTGAGATTTCTAAAGGCACTGCACTTCAAGAATAATTATTAAGGTTGAGTGCACAGAACCTCCCTGTGAAGGATAACAAAATCACCAATTTTTGAGGGTGGAAGGGACCATCGTCTTGAGACCATCAAGTCCAACCCCCTGCTCAAGCAGAGCAGAATCACCTAGCACAGGTTTCTCACAACCATGCCCAGTCTGGTTTTGAAAATCTCCAGGAACTGAGACCTGACAAACCCCTCTGGGTAACCTGGGCCTATGTTTGAACACCCTCACAGTGAAACAGAGTTTCCGTGTGTTCAGGTGTAATTTCTTGGGTTTTGATTTGTTCCCTTTGCTATCAGGTGCACTGCTGAGAGAAAATTGGCTCCCTCTTTGTCATCCCCATGTGTTTACAGACAGGTGTTAAGATCTACCTGAGCTGCTTCATCTGCAGCCTTAGGAATCCTGGCTCTCTCAGCCTTTCCTCATGTGAAAGAGAACCCAGCCCTTAATCCTGTTTGTGGCCTTGCACTACACTGCTAGACCTCCTAGTACTGTTTCTCTTCAAAGTATGAATATAATTAGGAAAAAAACGCTCATAATCATGTAGGTCTGCTTCTGATTTGCAGTGCCACTGACCTTTTTGTCATCTCATATCTTTTTCCACTTTCTCCAGCAATCCTGACTTTTCCAGACCTATGATTTAGAAACATAACTAGTCATTGCTGTTTTTCTTTTGCTGACAGGGTGTGGTGTATTTTAATGACTGTCCTTCCACATATGCTTATTTAGCTAGGCCTTTCCTTTTGTCCTTTTTTTCTTAAGTCAATTAAAAACAGCAGAGCGTAAACAGTGGTCAGATTCACAAACAAACAAAAAATTAATAAAGTGAATACAATTTTTTTTGTAGTGCTAGTCCTGCCTGTGTGTAATCATTATTCACAGATCCATTGTATAGTTTTAGTTCATTAAACTAAAAATTTCTTTGCAAAAATGTTACCTGAACTCAAAAAAAAATTTTTTGATGCTTATTCCATATTCATATCCCTGGTGATCAGTCTGGGAAATCTTCAAGGTATTTTGCTTAAATAAGTTTCTTAAGGCATTGGGAAGACATTCTGCCTAACCTCAATTAGTTTTAGCTTATTTTTTCTTGCATTCATGATACTATTATCATGTCTAAAGGGTAAAAAATAACCCAAAAGCCATAATGACTAAAGTAATGAATGCAATAAACATTGTAAATGTTAAGCCTTCACACTTAAAAATTTTCTCTTAACAATTATTCATTTCCAGACTAATGTAGTGGAAAAATGCATATTCTGCCCAATGGCATTCTCTTTATAATTTCAAACCCCACAAATTTGAGTATTCCGAAAATGAAGAAAAACTGGGTTTCCCGTCTAGAAATAAAAATTAAAAGTACTTCACAGAGATGTCAAAGGACAAAAGTCATGTACTGACACATCTGTAAAGAAAATTTATGACAGTCTTTTTAACTTGCATCTTCTAGCATTAGTCCCTCCTATAATGGTCTTTTCACTTCTGGTAATAAGCAGATGCTAGAACTTTTTCATTTTTTGTGTATTTGATTCGAATGTTTGAAATTAAAGAAATTTATATGCGTGCTCAGCAAATAATATACTTGATGATGCTATTCACAGGTATAAAAAATGGATCTCTCTAAAGTGCCTGCATTTTATAACTTTATTTTGTAATAAATTAATAAAATTATCTTTTTGTTGTTCATTTCAGACATAGCACTGTTTTTTCCATCCTTCACTGGAAATTCTTATTTGGAGCTACCTTCTCTGACATCTGTATCTGATACCAGGACTGCATCTGGGCAGGAAACAAGCAATCTGACGACTCTGTACTTGACAGTGAAAACAACTGCTCTAAATGGCACAATTCTTTACAGTGAGTACCAAAGATACTTGAAGCTAAGTATCAGTTTTAGCTCCTTCAGGTCTTTATTAACTTTAGTGTACATCAGCTGGCATTTCCTCTTCAACAGCAAAATGAGTCATTAAAATGCAGCAGAAGCCTTTTGGTATTCTAATGCATGCTGCATTATAAGATTTGGACCATTGTTCCTTGTGTTCCTCTGGAAAGTTCTCTAATTTATGTCTCATTGAGCAAAACATAACTTACAAGAGAAAATGCTGCTTCCTGACAAGAAAGAACACAGTAAGCATATGACTTTAGTTGTAAGTTTTACAGCTTTAAAATACAAATGTTGAAGTTTTGAACAACTTATAGAGAAACAACTTCTCTGTAGTTGGATTGAGTCTCGCTTTTTATAATTGTGATCTTGGTTCCAAATTCTTGATTTATAGAACTATTTTAGGTTCTGCAGTTTTGCCATATTTTGAAGCACTTACTGTGATTTCACACTTCAGAGAATTCCTTTGTGGTCCCCAGAGAGTATATGTGCAGACTTGGATGTATGCCTGTTAATACTACATAAAAAAGTTGCTTCTTGCCTGCATATTTCATTCCTCAATATATGGCATAAACTTCTGAGACAGAAGTACACTTTTCACTAGTCAGCAAGAAAAAATAGACTTCTCTGCCAGTTGAGTATTTCATTATATATTTTATCTTGCAATTTCTTGCAAATGGAAAACATGGAAAGTGAGGTGATTTCTTCCCAAGAAGAGCTAGAAAAATATGATTATTTGATAGATTTACTCCACAAAGACAAAATCATTAGGAGCATTTTCAGTTCACTGCAACTTCCTAGAGTTACTCTACACATGAAATGTTGTTGATCTAGCATGAATGATTCTGATTAATTTTTTTTGCATTTATATTAATCTGGTAGTAGTATATGTGAATTCATCTGAAGTATGTACATATTTATAAGGCAGGGTTAAAAGTAATATAAGCTTTGTGGCATTATTTAATTATGCCTTTTTTTATTATCTGTACTAGATATTTTTTAGATGTGAAACACTCTAGCCCCAAACTGAAAATTAATATTTACTTCTTTTCAAAATGGCATTTTAAGTCCTTGTATTTTATATCTGGGCTGTTGCTGCAGCTGCCTAAGCTACAGTACTGCAAAATTTGCCAAGAATCATGGGTAATTGGTGATGTTGCAGTTCTTTATATCAAAATGTTTTATACTTGTTAGTTATTTCAATTTCAAGAGGAGTTATTTGCCCTTGAAGAAGAATTCAGTGGAGGTTATTGGAAGTATTTTGAATATATTTGGCATTTAGTGATTTTGTTTGCTTCATCACTGCAGAGTAATTTGGCTCCAGCCAAAGTTAATCTTGCTATCTACACATAAGCCCTGAGTAAGCATCTCTGTGAACCAAAAATCTCAAAGAACTCCAAACCAAAAAGAAAAAAAAGAAGAAGATTCTCTCTGCTATACTCAGGAGTAACTCAGGAGGAAGTGGTGTTTTTGGAAGCTAAAAGAGTCGAGTTTGTTCAGCCTGGAGAAGAGAAGGCTCTGGAGACACCACATTCCAGTCTTTAAGTATTAAATGGGTGCTTATAAGAAATATGGGGCTAAACTTCTTAATTGCCTGTTGTAACAGGACATGGGGTAATGTTTTTAAACCAAAAATCACTAAAAGAGTGTAAATGTAGACTAGATGTAAAGATTTTTTTACAATTAGGAGAGCAAGGTACTGGAATAGACTGCCTAGAGAGGTGGTCAATTCCTCATCCCTGGAATCATCCAAGTCAGGTTTGAGAAGACTCTGAGCAACCTGCTCGGGTTGATGTCCCTGCTCATTGCTAGGGGTGAACTAGGCGACCAATTCATATGACTCTACGTATTTTCTTTTCTAGATAATGTGCTTATTTTGCATCTAACCTAATTAGATATTTAAACCTAATATAACCTGTTCAGCTATTAGTTCATACTGTCTATGGAAAATTGTTAACATGGTATTTTTCAGGTGTTTGGAGAGATTTTGTTACAGCAGTATTTGAGGACTTCACATTCTTTAGAATATAAATGTTTCCACTTTCTGGAATGATAGAATGACATTAGTGGAGAACCCAAACATTTTTTCCTTTCCAGTTATCCATATTGAGACTTCCATGGGCTGTGTCACAGCTCACTTCTTATCCCTCCAAAAAGGAGTCACTGTGGAGCTCTCACCCTAAAATTGAGCTGGGGTAGCTCCAGCAACTTGGGATAATATTTGTATATTTTCTCAGGGTGAAAACTCACCTTTTCTTCACAGGTTCTCAGTACCATGTCATACTTGCATTTTCATTCCCTGTGTTACCGCTAAAATGGAATTTTAACTGATTTGCAATATTCAACTCTTTTAGCGACCAGTAGGGTTTCTTTTAAGGTTAGATTTCTGTTAAGCTAAATAAATAGATAAGTAAATAAGGAAAATTTTGGATCTCTACCTGGCTGTAGAACAGAGACGCAGAAAATAATGGATGACTTATCAGAATTCTTGTAGAATTCTGGTAAGTCATCCATTACTTTCTGCATCCTATTATAAGAATTCTTTTAGAATTCTGACACTGTGTTAAACATTAGATAGATCTTTGCTTTTCATTTCCACTTTAACGATCTCTGCCCCTCCTTCTATAACACCAATTACTTTTCCTTGTTTTTACTCTTTTTGTTCTGTGTGTCCCTCATAATTATATTAATTTCCAAATATTGCAAATGTTTCTTATAATGGTTTGGATCAATATTCTTCTTTGGTTTTACATGAATGTAAAATAAAAAATTATATAAATACATAAATAAAAATCTTTCCAGTGTTTTATGAATGAACTCCATGTGCCTATACAGATAATTGAGAATTTAATTATTTCTGAACACTCTTCTGTCAAATAAATATCCTTTGTGAGTTCCTTCATATGCTTTCTCTGTATTTCCTTCATCCCCACTTCTTCCTCCCCACCCCCACCCCTTCATTTTTTCTCCCCACTCTGTCTTTCAATTTCACTACTAACTACTACAAAAGAGAAGCTGCTGCTGTCATCTTTTCTGCTTTTAATAGTAATACAATTCCTGCCTTTACTCCGCTTTTTTGAAGTTGTGTGACCATCAAACATCCCAGGAAAGAATCATCAGCAGAAAGCCAACTTGAGGCTATTGCACTCACTAGGTACAAGAATCACACACATCTAAGGGTTAATGTTCTCAACATTTTCAGATTCTGTTAATTGATGCATGTTAGCAATGGTTTAATAATTATGGTTACAATTAGCTTCACACATTCATAAAACAAAAACCTTTCCATTTGTCAAAATAACTTTTTAAAATAGAAAAATCATTACAGTGATCTGCTTCTTTCAGATGTATTTTACTAGAAAATTGTTACACATTTTTGATTAGTTTTTTTAAATTAATCCAACTTCAGATTACACATTTTACAAACACACCTGTTTTTACCAGTTGGTGGTGAGGTTACATCTGTTTTTCTGGCAGATAATTAGTAGACATTTAATTACAGGGGGAAGTCTCAGACAAGATGCTACTGATACACAAATGAATTTGAATCAGAAAGTATGCATAAGAAGACTATTTAAGCCAAAATCATAAGGATAATATAAAAGGATTCAAACTTGTATCTGTCTTTACCTAGTACATTAGCCAGTGAAGAACAAAAACGATTTGTGCCTTCTTCACTTTTTCATGTCAACATGCCTTTAAATAAAAAGAACAGAACACTGAAATATCAATGCATTATTTTAGTACCTTTTAGCAGTTAGTGCAATTATAAATGTGCAAATATATATTAGACAAATAAAATAAATATAGAGAATACAGCAAATAAGCCTGCTTATAGGCTAACCAAGAGGCAAAAGATGAGAACCATTACATGTGCTAGGCATGCCACTTTAGTAAATCATACCATACCGTTGTTAAAAAAAATCTTATTTGATGCCTTTATTAGCAAGAATTTTATCAATGGTAAGTTGAAATTAACAAGTACTAAGGACTTGTAGAGGCTTCCAAAAATAGGTTGTCTGTTAAAAAAAAGGGGGGAAAGAGGATGTCATAAAAGTCTATGTATGATTTATAGAAAATTACTATACATATATCTGTCTTAATACAAAGAAAAATGCATTTACATTGTTAATAATGACATTTTCCCTAATTATTTCAGTATGTATTCAAGAAATACATACATTAAAGAGTGTTAACGGTAAATGGACTAAAACTCTCTGGAATTTTTGCTGCTGTGTTGTGTTTAAATTGTTGATAGAATGTGACAATTACATTTGTGCCAATAAAGATTAGCCATCATTGTGAGAAGATTTGTTTGTTGACTACAGAATGCATTCATTAAATTTCTATTCTATTCCTTAATTATTTTATTTGTTAGCATGATTAAATTTCATCAACATGTCAAAGCAAATTGTGATATTTAGCCACAAAGCAAAATAAATTGCTAGTGATCATAAAAACCTGATACAGTTGTAAAGTTTTACTTCATCATTTTCACTTTTAAGAGAGTCAGCATAATGCTGCTCACAATCCCTTCAAGGGTAGATTGTTTAGCTTCTGCTATATATGGTAGCCTATAACTTCTGACAATTGGATTTCAGATCTCACAGCCCATGTTTATAGCATTCCTTAAGGACTGCAGTTCCCTTTTCATAAGGTGGGCTCATAAATTATTTCCTTTTTTCTCAGAAGGTCTGTTCCCCAGATCTTCCCATATTGCCCTTACCCTTAAGAAACTAAATAGAGGCCATTCAGACATTTCAGTTGTAGTCTTTTTGTCTCTTATTTCAGCTCGCATTTTCACATAGAGCATTTCACAGTATCCTTCCTGTGTCAAAATATAGTTTCTTTCTTAATAAAGCTAATCCCATATTTTAATGGGACTTGAAATCTGTCTTTTAGATAAGCAATCATTTAAGCTCAATGGCCATTTGCTTGTTGACATACTGATGTACAAAAATTACCTTCCAGCTCACAGTTTTCTGTGAAAGGGTGATTGCTGAGATTCTTTTGCTGGAACCCTCCCATAACCTCTACTGAGGTCAAGATGATTTACTCCTAATATCCACAAGGTTTTTAACTCAGATATTTCCTGATCTCTGTCTCTTCCCAGAACCTGTCTGTTTTGCTTATGACTCGAGCTTTTCCTATGAAGGTAATTTCTATCATATGCCCTAGGTAGTGTATGCTCTTCCACATTGCCAGTAGAAAATTCTGTGACTCCTCATGTTCACTGTAGAAAGATTTAAAGGACTGTCCTTTCAAAGGATTTCATACCACCTAGCAAATAATGTGAAGAATGCTGGTAGTCACCTGTAAGTGTGACTTAAAAGTGCTCCCTAGACTGAAGTTCAAGCAGGAACACTCACTGAAGTTTCAAGAAGTAATGCTGCCTTTGAGAGAGCTGTCCCAGATTTTTTACTTTACTGGTAATAATGAGGACTTTCTTCCAGGTTTTTACTAGTGGGCAATGTGAGTAGACAGACAGAGTCATTGGGAGAGGGGAAACAAGCTGTTCATCTGTAACTTTACTTTTTCAAGACATGTTATATACATGCACATATACATCCACTTCATTCTCTATGAATCAATGTGACTTACAGACCTACTTACTGGTAGAAATTGGAAATGCCAGGAATGGCATGTGCAGGGAGGGGAGAAGACTAGGAAACAAATAGTACAATATATGCATATATCAGTTATATGATGGTTAAAAAGCAGTGCAATAGTGCAATATATTTTGAAAGAGAATTATCAGACTACTGTAGAAGGAAATTGTAAAAGCCAAAGGCATGAAATCCAGTCAAATTAAAATAGCTTTGGAGTTAATTAGGTATTCAGAATACAAAATATATCTAAGCATAAAAGACTTTAGTAGGTCATCAGGATTTGTAACAGACTGAAGAAATGCAATGTTGACTAAAAAGCTGCTCACAGAGAGGGAGTTTACATTGTGAACTGTTTCTGCTAGGAACTATACAAAAGGAAATGATCAGACAGTTGCAAGCACTGTTGTCTCTCTCTGATCTAAATATAGATAATTTTTTGCTCTTTGTTTTGTCCTCCAAAGTAAAGTTGATTTTTTTTTATTACAAATTATTATGTTTTTAAGTCCCAATAATGCCCTCATTCTTTTTACCTTTCTGAATAAAAATAATAAAGGATTTTCTGACCCTGCAGCAACTCCAGGCCTGGGAGCTCCTACCCAGAGCTGAAATCCAGCCCAGATCCCAGACCCATTCTGGGGGACTCCTGCTTGTGGTTCATGGGCAGAGCCACCCAAACCCAGGCACTCCACAGCTGAGGGTCCCCCAAATGTTAGTGTGAGATCCCTGTCCAACACCCACGCCAGCACCCAGGCCTCCTATTCAGAGGCAGTGGTACATCAAAGAGTACATGCAGTTTTTCAGTTTCCTGACCCAGTTAGTGAGTCTTTTTTACTTCAGTTAAACATAGTAAAATACAGTGAAATAAACAGATGAACATTTTAACGATTTGTCTTAAAGGTGAATAAAAATTGCAAACAGGAACTGTCTTACCTTTTATGAAAAGTAAATTCAAAGGACAAATTCACCTAATAGCATTTGAAACTGTAGGTGTCAGTCCTTTTTTTTTAGAAGAGCCTTGTATCATTCATCACTTAAATATAAATATTTTGCTGTCATTTTTACAATGTATAATATATTAATTAGTGGAAGTGAACTTAAGCATATTTTTCATTCATATTTTTAATAGTTCAAGTACCAGTATCTTTAATGTTCTGTAAATAATTTTTCTTCTCTTCAAGTCTGAAATACATCATTAATTGGGAAAGGTGAATTTTTCATAATCTTTAAATCTATTATAAGAGCTGTCCTCTTATAATTTTTGTTTTCTATCATTTATTTGAAAAGCTGAATGAATGTGAATTTCTTTTTTTATTGTCACCTTCGTTGCCTTAACGATACTGCTGGATATAGAGAGAAGTTCAGTTAATGCAAGATCTCTGTGAGATCGATGCCAATGCAGTGGCAAGTAAATTTTTTCTTTTAGTTATTTTCTTTTACTTTTAACTGTTAGCTAAATACAGAGATTACAGTTTGAGTTTTTTCCTCACAGTCACCCAAGAAAGGTCCTGTGTATGGACAGGAGGGTCCCCAAGGCCATATAGGCATCGTGTCTGATGATGGTGTTCCGGTTGTGTGATTTAGTTCTGTGAGGTCCTACACTTCCAGAAGCTTGACTGTCTCTTTTTTGTTTTCAAAGCTGGTGAAAGAAATTTTGGAGAGCAGTTTCTTCACTTGTATCTCGTGGAGGGAAGACCAACAGTTCGCTTAGGCTGTGGAAGCTCTCAGAACATTCTGACTGTGTCCCTGAACCAATCTGTCAGCAGGGGTGTGCTCGTCCCTATCACAGTGAGGTAAGAACTGGGTTACACTAAAAGAGTTTTAGTCATCTACATTGAGCAATAAAATGTAATTTCATTTTTTTTTTGACAATAAAAGGGCAAGTCAAATTGGAAAGCAAATTTGGAAACCTTTTTTTATAAAGTTGAAAATATAATTCAATTTCAATTCTCCTTGATTGAAAATACATTTTAGTTCACACAGATTACTTCAGTCCTTTGGAGAACTTATGAATCATTCAAAGTCTTCAAAGTCCAGATACATTTACAGATTCAGATTATTTCAGTTTGAGAACTGAAACAGTTTAAACATAATTTTTGAAATTACAAATGGGGGGTCTCATATTTTATGCTTATGAATTAACGCATTGAAAAAATTATATTTGTCATCACATTTTAGTGCTAAATATAAGAATAATCTATTGTTTAAGATAAATTAAAAATGGGCATGCTAACAACATCTTACATTACAGGGTGTACTTGATGATTTTAAAAGCTTTATCCAAACAACTACAATTCTAAAAGTTGTCATATCTACATTTGCCACTGTATGTCAGGGTTATACAGGTGGCTAATCACTGCTGTCACTTTTCATCTTGTACAAATGATAGTTCTGAAAATGGTTCATTTATCATTTTGAGATGGATATAGATATCATGCTTTGGTAATGAATTAATGCTTTTCCAGTCATGGAATTTCATATGTGCAAGCTAGGTAAGAAGTAAAACAGAAATAATATAGAGGTTTTTGTAATGTTTATATTAGTAATGTTAAATAATAGTAAAGTATTCAATCTTTACTTCAGAAATGTTTAGAAATAATTCTGACCCATATAAAGTATCATATTACTGTGATTAGGATCATATTTTTTACATTGTTCAAGTACTCTTAAGTATTAATTGCTGCACCTGAACTGTGAACATTTGTGCTGTGAGGGAATGTAATGCAGAAATTATGAAATTAAAGGAAGCCTTAGCTAGGACTATTTTTGCCGTTATAGGATGGTATGTGAAGGAGACTGCTGCGAAAGTTACCATGAAACATGCATGTTAGACTTCTCAAAATTGCCTTTTACTATCAAAAAAGAAAAATCAAAGCAAAATCTGAATGTTTTTGTGTTTTTCTTCTGAGCTGTTTCTCTGTGATGTAAATGTTGATCAATTCTGAAATGACAAAGGTTTGTTGATCTCATTATATAGAGTAGATTGATAAGGTGAGAAGAGAATGTTCAGCATATCAGCCTATTTTCTTAGATTGTATGCTTAACCCATCTGCCCTACCACTTCTTTTAGAAACAAATTTGTTAGAACATAAATCCTTTTTTCAATATACAGAAAGCTAATAGGAACTGCCATTTAGGAAACTGTTTCCTTTCTATCTTCTATTTTTGTTCATCCGCAGGTGTCGACATTACTTTTTTTCTACATTTAAAACGGGGTTTTCCTTTTATGTTTAGTATTAACATCTAGTATTAATGGGAAAAAGTCACATAGCATACATTCAAATCTTATTAGCTGGCAGTGTATTTATTTTAGGATTTTTGTACAGATTGTAAAAGCACATAAAATTTACAAAGAAAAGCATATCACTTCCCCTCCTTTTGATCTAGCAGATATTTTTTTCTCTCCATAAATACTTGATAGAGTTATACAGCTCAATACAAATAAACTATTGGAAGTTTGTTTCTTTATCCCAGAGGCTTCTCTTGTATGAGACATTGGTCAGATAATTGTCTGCACTGCCTCAGCTGAGGTAGCATTGTCTTTGCTTCATACATTTAAGCAATTAAAATGCCATACAGATTTCAAAGCCTAATAATATTGTAGCAACAAATGCAGCTAAACAAAAATTTAAAAATTGATTCTAGGTATAGAGTTCAAGTTCACACTGAAAATTTTATTTCCTTCTTTTTCTACCTTAATATTAACACCTCTGTATTTATGGCCTCATTCTTCTTGTTGTTACACTAAAAATACTATCAGTTCAATTTACACATTTCCTTTGTTTACTAGAATTTTATACTGCTACCTTTGAAACAGTGGCATCCTAAATAACTTGCAAGGTGTGATTGTAGACTGTGACTAGTAGGGATTTACATGAATTTGAGTTTATGGGCTTGGCCTCCAAAATGACTTGTGATTATTCTTGTGAGTCCTTCTAAAATGTAGAGAGAGCAGTATATCCTTCACCAAGCAGCAATAAAATTGTAATCCTTCAGCAGTCATCCTTAACCTCTGTCAAAGGAAAAAGCAAACTTGACAAGGCAGTTGTAGCCTCCCAAGCTCTTGAATTATAAGATATAAAATATGAATCCATGGCAAACTGTTGATTTGTGTTCTCAGAGGCTGTTGGAGATAGATAATTCTATCTGTATGCTTTACCTGCAAAATTGTGTGGGGTTTTTTTCCCTATAGTGCAGAAAAAGAGTCAAAGAGCAGAATAAATGATAATTTTTGTTGCTGTTTCAAAGCTCTCCAACAAGGGAACAAAATATTTGCTACATTTGATTTTGAATTAGTTTGGAAGACAATATTTGACACTTATTCTGGTTTTGGATGCTACTATGACTGCAGTGGTTAAACACCACAGCTAACACATCCAATATCTATAGAAACAGACTTTCTCCTTTTCAAACTTATTCTTTTTAATCCACATGTGCAAGAAACGAATACATTCCCGTAGTTTAGAGCTATTGCTTTTCTTTAACTGTATGATTAGTTTCCTTAGATATGGCCATTTTCTCAAACCTGATGAAGATTAAATGAGTTTTAAATGTTCAGTCATTGTCTTTATGATACTTGTGAAATGGCAGCTTTATAGAAGAAAGTCAATAAAGCCCTGATTACTTACTTTTTTTGCCTTGCCTAAAGAAAATAGAAACCTGTTTCAATGCAGTTTCATTTGTGTTTCTATTTCTGTTTATTTTATGATGTTTTCATTACTGGTTTGAAAATGTGCATTCATTTGAGTGTAATTTTTTATGATTTCATGACTGAGAATGTATTGGTCTTTTCAGTTAAAGCTTTGAGCACATACTTGAAATGTAGTTTGGATTGGTTTTATGGATTTGTTCTTTAAAGTTATTCAAAGAACATTAATCCAAACACATTTCATTCCATGAGTAGATTCTGAAATGCATTTGCCTGATGTAAAATTTGCTCTACTTTGTGGTTAAAGTGATATTACTGTCATGGGGGCAAATGATGTTTCTTCAATTCAGTGGTTGAAAGAAGGTAAATTTAACAAAGAGATTGAAATACTGAGGTCATCAGGATTTTGATTCATCTAGATAGTAAGGTGGATTGGCACTTTTGGAATATGAGTACTGATATTTTTTAGACGTCTTAGATTCTTGTCTCTAAATGATATTTTTTGTGTGTTCTGCACAGTGATGTGATACAGCGGGTCCTTTTCCGTTTAGGAGATTCCAAGCAAGCATTAATTAAAATCTTCCCTGTATGTGACAGCATCACTCTTCAATCTTATGTACCTGCAGAACTTTCAGAATTTTACTCTGGAATTTAAGGAACATAGTGCCCATCCCCACAGAGCTGTATCATGTTATTATGTACATTTAGGTTTCATGTATCTTCCCAGTGAACATATTGAAAGCAGTTGTTTCCAGTTTTCTGTCACACTTTAATCAGTAGTATGGATGTGAGCATTTACTCGTGGCTGAGAAGGGCACCTTTAGCTGTCCTTAAAAGGGTTTATTTGTTAAATACATTTTCCAGTTAATTTGGCCAAGTATCACCTAGACCATGCAGTGTACAGAAGCTGCTGAAGTTTATTATTTGCTCTTCCAGCTTCAAAAGCAGATGGCACGTTCTGAACTGTGAAAGTCCTCAGCATGTTTTTGTACCTCCACATGGAAACTTTGGCAAGGTGTAATGTATTAAGTACTGGTTACATGATTATATTATCAGCGTCCATTATTTCCCCACTTCTACTTCCTTCCTTTCCACAGAAGAAAGAAAATCGTTGCTTGAACTATTCTACAAAGTTTTTTCATGCATGTGCATTCTGAAAATGTGTTTCTAAAAAATATGTAAATCACAATCCATATGATATATTGTCTCATTTTCAGTCATGTTGTTTACCTATTTCATTTCATTTCATTATTTCAGAGATATATAAGTTTTCATATTAGTCCATATTTTTATTGTTATTTGCAGGTGTTGGGTATCCTGCATAGTGTGAAAGTATTACTTAAAATTACATTAAATCAATAAACCAAAAAAACCCCCCATACTCAATTATCTGATGTCTTGCTATTGCTTCCAATATTATGGGTTACCTAGAAATATAGGATATTTTTTTGATGATTTGGAAACATCTGAGCAGCAGGTTTTGTATCTCAACAAGTACATAATGTAGCCTACATAGTGTAGCAAGTACATAGTGTAGCCTAAATTCATACATGCCGTACTGATTTCCAACATAATTAATCATGTTATGAATGAGAAATGGAAAGGTGATTTGCTAAATGACAACTACGTGCAATATCCCTGTCATTTTATCACTCCTCATCCTTTCCAAATTATTTGAAGATTAACAGTGAAAGCAGTCTTGGATAGATAAAAATTTAAAATTTCTTTTTAGAATTGTATTTTATTTTATGAATTTATAATATTGTTAAGGAAATGGCATTTAGATGTGGTTTTAAAAGGGAATATTTTACACACTCTATATCTTAATTTTGAATTTTAAGTCTGCATGTAGATAATTATACCTATGTTGTGGTGCATCGAACTGGAAATGCTGTAGGATATTAATCAATTCTGAAGAAAATTTGCAATTACTTCTAGAAGGGCATATATACAACTGCATTAATTAATGTTTGCTGCATTTTCTATAGCAATCGAAAATTTCATAAAATCATCACATTTTCCACTGTAAGGTAGGAATGCTTTTGCCCTGTACACCTATGTATTGTTTGTCCCCTGAAAGCTTTAATCTGTTTCATTAATTGAGCTGTTACAGTTTTACACAAGTAATCACTACATCTATTTAGT